CTAGTGATATTAATACCCTTGAGGTACAGCGCGTAGGCCCTAGTTATACGATTGATACACTAAAAGCACTACGTCAAGAAATTGGATTAACCACCAGCATCGTTTATTTGATTGGTGCTGATCAGCTCGTGAATTTATCGACATGGAAAGATTATCAACACTTAACACAGTATGCTCATCTTGTTGTCTGTTTGCGCCCTCCTTTCTCACTGGATCACCTAAATCCTAGTGTGAGCGGCTTGTTGGCCAATCATCAAATCAGTGATCCAGCACCATTAAAACTGACAACGCATGGCAAAATATGGTTTAATACGCACATTCAGGTCGACATATCCTCAACTCAGATTCGCCAGCAGTTTGCCGATGGGCAAGTCTCATTGGATGTCCCAGCTTCGGTGGCTGATTTTATTATTCAACACAAATTATATTCATGAACATAGAAAATTTACAAAAAGTCATTGTTAATGCCCTCGAAAATATTAAAGCACAAGATATTGTTGTTTTTGATACCACACATTTAACCTCTTTATTTGACCGCGTTATTATTGCTACGGCAAGCTCAAACCGTCAAACCCGTGCGCTTGCTGATTCGGTTCATAAAGATGTCAAGGCAGCAGGTGGTGAAATTATCGCTACTGAAGGATTAGAAACGGGAGAATGGGTGCTAGTTGATTGCGCCATTGCCGTGGTACACATTATGCAAGCACCGATTCGTCAATACTACAATCTGGAAGAAATTTGGGGCGAAAAAACGGTTGATGTCTATGCTAAACCAGCCAAAAAAGCTACGAAAAAGACCGCGACTCAACAAGATGATGTCGCTAAAAAGACCACAAAGCCTCGTCAAGCAGCGATCACCAAAACTCAAAGTGCTCAACCTACCAAGGTTTCTAAAAAAACAGAGGCCAAACCTAAAACCAAAGCCAAGCCAGCGACAGAAAAAGCAGCTTCAACCAAAAAAATTGCCTCAAAATCAGCATCTAGTGATTTAACAAAAGCTAGCGCTAAAACAAAAACAACAACGGAAACAACAAAAGCGGCTAAAACCAAGTTGACCGTTAAGAAATCGGCAACTAAAAGTCATGCTGACGATAAAGCAACTCG